AAAGAGCATATAAAATGTGTACAGTGGTGCCTCGCTTAACGGTGATAATCTGTTCCAGGAAAATCGCCGTTAAGCGAAAACATCGTAAAGCAAAAAAATCCCCATTGAAACGCATTGAACCCCATTCAGTGCGTTCCAGTGGGGTAAAAACTCTCCGTCGAGCGAAGATCCTCCATAGGGCGGCCATTTTCGCTGCCTGTACAGCGAGGAATCCGTCCCTAAACACAGTGGGGAGCCCCTTTAATCACCTGGTGGCCATTTTGAAACCACCTATCAGCTGTTGGAAAATCGTCGTTTTGCGAAGAATCGGTTCCCGAAGCAGGGAACCGATCATCGCAAAATGAAATTTCCCCATTCAGACCATCATTTTGCGATTGCAATTGCGATCGCAAAAAGATTGTCATTAAGAGGCTTTGTCGTAATGTGGGGCAATCGTAAAGTGAGGCACCACTGTATTAGGGTAAATTGCTCACAAATACACATAGAGAGGTTAAAATAAGACCTGTCTTCCATTAGTTAAGGGAGTTTCCTTGAAAAATTTGTGTATATTAGGGAAAACAGTACAGTATATAAAATGAGTACATTTGCAGAAATCTGCCAAAAATACATGTTGAGTTTTCACATGGCTTTCTTCAAAATGGTCAGAAACCCGTGTGGAAATGTGACAAAAGTGGAAAAATTGGAAACAAAGAGGATCCAAGATGGTCAGGTTTGTCTGTCCATAACCAAAACATGTCCCCTAAATGACCTGATTTCACAAATGATCCAGACTGTACACAAGATGAAAGGCAGTGAGTGTCTTTGTGTTTTTACATCTAACATCACAAAACTGCTTGTAAAACTATTTGACACCTTCTGTAACTAAAATTAATGTATAGCATCTAGAGGTCCAATGGACAGAAGTCTAGTCACAAAATCTTTGTGCTGGAGGTACAGCATAGAGGCAGTTTTTCAAAGGTCAGTCCTTTCTTAGTGTCTTTTAACTAGCTACTATGAAGTGTTGGGGGACTGTCTGGTTCAGCAGTCCGTGAGGCTTTTTTTTAAAAAAAAAATCTGCAAAGGAAAAGAGAAACTGGTACAAATTCCCACATCCTGAGCCTTGTATCAGAGAAGTGCAACTTTGGATCCAACTAAAATGTGTGTGTGTGTTGGGTTTTTAGTGTGAACAATATTTTAATTTCATTTATTTAAGTTTGTCACACCCTTCTACTCAGTGACTACCTCAGGCACGATACAAAACAATGGACAAAACCCTGTTGTGTAAGGTTATGCTGGTGTAAACTAGATTGAAATTAATCAATTTAAAACAATTGAAAGCTTCTTGTTCCCCCCCAACTTCTTTCAGGTTCTGAGGCTCTCTAGGGCTCCCTTTAATGCCCTGGGGAAGCCTTTGGGAACAAAGCCTTTAATAGTCAAAAATGGCTGCCCCATCAGTACCAACAGTCCAAATTCCGGCAGTGGTGGTTACTATTAAAGGCTTCCTTCCCACAAGGCTCCCAGAGGGCAGAAGGGATCCCTGTCAATCCTCAGAACCTGAAAGGTGCGGGGAAGGTTTCATTTAGTTTCAATAAATGATTTCCAGCACTGGATCCAGTTTATGCTGGTGTAACTTTACGTAACAGGCTTTTTGCCTGGTTAAAAGAAAACATAAATAAGAATAGTAAAGTATATTAACTACAAAAGAGATATAAAAAGTTGTTTGTGATATTCTGTGCATATTAATACTGTAATTTAAGAGCAAAGGGTGCACCCTTTCTTAGAAACATTGTGATCACAATATAAAAAGTTGCTTGTGATATTCTGTGCATTTTAATAATTTAAGTGCAAAGGATGCACCCTTTCTTAGAAACATTGTGATCACCTATTTTGGTGGGAGTACTAGTAGTCTTGCTGAATATTAAGATAGTCCTTGGATTTTGCCTGATAGGCTTCTAATCTAAGCAGCCACTAGAAAAAAGTTTTTAAAAAACAGATAAAAGTTATAATTTTAAAGATTATTTAATCCTGAGACTGCCTTTTCAAATGTACCAGCTAAATTGTTGGATAGCCTTCTAAGACAGATTTCTCTGGTTCCCCCTTTGTCTGCTTTTAAACAGTATTTTATGTTATGCAGTATTTTAAATTAGAACACATGTTTATGTGGTTTTATGTTTGGTGCATGTTGATATGGTTCTTACACTGTTTTTTTTATAACATTATTTTTTGCAGGGATTTTAGGAAATGTATTGCATTATGTATTTTTCATATATCCCCTGCCTTGAGTATGACTTGTTATAGGAAGGTAAGATAGAAATACCTAGATAATTTACTATGCCCTAGTAACTTGCCGTTTGTTTAGTTGAGAAAGGCTGCTATGTGTACAAAAGGACATGCAAGAATGGGCTCATGTTACAGGAAGCCAGAGATCGATTGAATATCAGGAAAAAACGTCCTAACTGTTAGAGCAGTAAGACAGTTGCCTCAAAAGGTGGTGAGTGCTCCAACACTAGAGGCATTCAAGAGAAACTTAAGACAAACACCTGGCAGATATCCTCTGATTTGTATTCCAGCATTGGTTCCAGCATTGTATTCAAGCATTGGTCTTGATTAGGCTTTTTCCAACTTCACTGTTCTGTGATTCCATGAAAAGGAATTAATGACGAGTCTCTTCTGGTAAAATACAGAAAGAGTATTGTCATAATACATGCACATAAGTGTATTACATTAGGTACAGTCCTATAAAAGTTGCAGCCTGTTTTGTATTTCAGTATACCTCACTTTAGACTTCTGTTTATAGGATTAAAATTTTACAAAACATTCTGTCTGAACGTTCGTGGTAATGTGGCCACAATACTGTATTTTTGTATAAAATTTGAGTTAATTTTGGTTTGTGTGTTAAATCTGATATTTAGATTTTCATTTATACTATACCTTGTGTTTGGCTGTCTAGACTTTCTGATATTTAGTTTTACTTGGAAAACGGGAGGTTTCTTGAGGATGAAATACAGTAGTAGCAATACAAGGAAGAAAATACAATGTTGTCGTCTTTACAGTTTTATCAATGTTCCCTCACTTAATTTCACCAATGATCATTTTTTGTAAGAAAGGGCACTGCATGGAAATGGTACAAAGACAATCCTGTAGGTTAAAGAAAAATGAAAGCATGAGGAATCCATATACTGTGACAAAGAGCAGAAAAGGCCTGGCTGAAGAATTAAGAGGTTTAAATAATACTCTGTTCAGTAATAGCTAGACATGGTTTTGTGGTCAGAGGACTTACCTGAAGAACGTCAGTGGGACGCATGATTTAGATCATTGTCAAAAGCGGCATTTCCCCCCTGATGATTTGAATCATGTTGTACATATGTTGTACTTTTGCACTAGTCCAGCTGTTTATATATAAATGGCTTGTCAGCTGTATATTTGTAAACATTTGCTAAAATTTGTCATGTAGCTTCTCAACCCAGTGGGAATAATGTCACTGGCAACAGGACATTCTTGCTAATTAGCGATGGGCACCAACTGCCAGTTCAGCCGATTGTGCCAGTTTATTGCCTGAACAGTACATCTGAGCCTCTCCTCTTCCAGTGGACACCCACCTGGAGGCAGTGGACTGGCTTCCCTGCCCTGCTTCTTCCAGTCACTGCCCCAGAACATCTGTTTGGGTGATAAACAAACTGGCATGAACCACTAAACTGGCAGTTCGTGCTAATCTCTAATGATAATTTTAACATTCCTGCTTCGATTTCAAGTTGCACACAATTTCCTCTCATTGTCTGCAAGTTGGTTGCAAATCAAAATCGAAGCTGGGATGCATAAAGTGCAGCGGTTTGTCTCTGCTGGGGATGTCATTCCCACCATACTGACAGAGCTATGTAACAGGATACGGGGTCATTGCGATGAGAAAAAGTGAGAGAAGTTTGAAATTTGGCTTCTTTCTCATGTTTTTTTTTTAACCATCTCCCCCACCACCACCCCGGGGTAAACTGACATCCTTTAAAATGTAATGGCCCAAATCTTGTTTGTTATGTTGGCAAACAGAGTGCAGGTTGTAAGGTTTCTGAAAGTGAATTGCATTTAGTTAACAGGGGTCATTGCGATGAGAAAAAGTGAGAGAAGTTTGAAATTTGGCTTCTTTCTCATGTTTTTTTTTTAACCATCTCCCCCACCACCACCCCGGGGTAAACTGACATCCTTTAAAATGTAATGGCCCAAATCTTGTTTGTTATGTTGGCAAACAGAGTGCAGGTTGTAAGGTTTCTGAAAGTGAATTGCATTTAGTTAACAAATTACTGTACTCCCACCATACTGACAGAGCTGTGTAACAGGATACGGGGTCACTGCGATGGGAAAAAGTGAGAGAAGTTTGAAATTTGGCTTCTTTCTCATGTTTTTTTTTTAACCATCTCCCCCACCACCACCCCGGGGTAAACTGACATCCTTTAAAATGTAATGGCCCAAATCTTGTTTGTTATGTTGGCAAACAGAGTGCAGGTTGTAAGGTTTCTGAAAGTGAATTGCATTTAGTTAACAAATTACTGTAAGGTGTTCTGTTACGTACTGAGTTGACCACAGCAGGAAATGTTCGTGATCATTTCTTCTATTCAGAAAATTTGCCACCAAAAATTACACCATCTGTACGCCACCTTAAAGCATCAATGGAGTTTTGGTCAAATTGGAGGTAGAAGGTCTATAAAGGATATATAAGGGATGACATATTAAGGGGTCTGATGTGTCTGTAGCCCTGCATGACTGCAATCCTGGCATGTTTTGCCACGTGTGATTTGCATTGTAAATGATACGGTTGCATGGGGGAACAAAACATTTTTCCAACTAATTCCAAGAAAATAGGTGGAGTGGGAGAAAATGTACATATTGTAATTTTTATTTCTGATGTAGTATGAGGAGCTACAAATATGAAGCTGTTTGTGGCTTATCCCTCTTTTACTTTGCTTTTGTTGTAAGTTTGAGTATATTTATAGTGTGTGGCTTTCCCTTTTTTCCTCCCCTCTTTTCTTTAGTACAATGCTTCACCGCAACAGCCAAGGGAGATAATTAAAAGCAGGAGTCTGGACAGGAGGCTACAGGAACCAATCGTTTTAACGAAATGGAGGCACAGCTCAATTGTGTTGGATACAAATGACAAGGTAGGAAATGTTCTAAAAGAACAGTAAAGAATTTACTGTCACATATATAGTTTTTATACCCTTTAAAATAAAAGTGTTCTAAGAAAATAAAATCCTTGGTGCCAGATGGTGAGCTAGATGCTAATGAATGACTCCCAGATAAATGCATGTTGAATTGTGATCTTAGTCTCAATAATGAGTTCCGCAAAATCTTTTTAAAAAAAAATATTTCCTGATGAATATGAATTACTGTATTTTCCCGTGTATAAAACTATACTTTTGTCTAAAATCTTTAGACTAAAAATTGAGGGTCATTTTATACATTGTATATAGTTTTTGTACCCTTTAAAAATAAAAGTGGTCTAAGAAAATAAAATTGTTGGTGCCAGATGGTGAGCTAGTTGCTAATGAATGACTTCCAGTCTCAACAATGAGTTCCGCAAAATCTTTTTTTTTAATTTCCTAATGAATATGAATTAATCACTTTCATTTAGATTTTTTTTAAATTATGCCTGTGAGTTGTTGAACTTCTGCTGTGTGGAAAGTTCTGCAAAAATTTATTCATTTAGATTTTAAAAAATTATGTCTGTTTGTTGTTGAGCTTCTGCTGTGTGGAAAGTTCTGCAAAAATAACAATGTGGGGTCATGCTGGTTGTGAAAGTACTAATTTTTATGAAGAAATCCATCCTCAACTTCCACAATGGTACTTGACTTGATCCTACATGACTACCCTGATAGAATGTTCGGTTCAGCGGAAGCTCAGTTTTGACCATAATTTATTTCCAGATGGTAGTTTCTGGAGCTTCCTTCACATCAGCTGGAGCTATTCATTTTTATAAAGGAAAATAAAATGGTTAGGGTTGAGAGCATACATAAGTCTAGACGTGGGGGAGAGATCTGGATCCCACCCCTTATATTGGAACTGTGAGAGTTTGGAAGGAAGTCAACTCAGCTGTAGCTTTAGCAACTGTTGCTTCACTTACAGACAGGGTTCCTTGATGGGGGGAGTTCTGTAACAAAATGGAAGACTTCTTTGGCTCAGTTGGCTATAATTCCTATATAGAGAGTCTTAGTAAGGTCGTACAAGATGACCCTGAGGCACAGGACAGTTTCATATGGAAATACTTCACATTCAAACCCCATTTAGGGCTGGATTGGGTCCTTTTCTTTTTTCAAGGGCTGCACTCAGTTAGGACCAGTCTATCACAGGTAGTTGGATTTGGAAGTGGAAATGAGCCGCAGTCAGACCTGAACATCAGAATCAGAGGGAACAATTTTCTCCTCTATGTCTAAGCTTATAACAAAATACATTGTGTAAATGAAATGGTGTTGTACTCAAACTGTAATTGTAATTAATTAATTAATTAAATTAATAATTAATTAATTAATACCCTGTTCATCTAGACCAAAGTCTACTGAATGGAGACAGATGTGAATTTCAGAGATGCTTAGTCTGTCATCATACTTTGAAATAATTTCTAGTAATAAGACACTTATTTGGGTTTAACTCTGCATTCATGGGTCTCTTTCCCCCCGCTTATTCTCCCAACAATCCTGTTGAGTAGTTTAGGCTGAGAGAAACTGGCTGAAATCCTGTTGACGTACAGTAGCAGTGTACACACAAGGCATCGGCTACAGCTTTTCAGTGTTCATTAAATGTTTCTCACCCCCCGCAGTGTGCACACAAGGCATTGGCTACATCCTTTCAGTGTTCATTAAATGTTTCTGACCCCCCCCCCATCCAAGGTTCTGAAGATCATTAGGAATCCCCTTTGTTCTGGGGAAGCCTTTGGGGCATTTCCTTAATGTATGACAATAGCTGTTGCTGGTCTGGGAATCACCAGCAGGACTCTCGACAGCAATTTTGGATGCCGACTTTTGTAGCTCTTGACTGTCTAACTACTGCAGTACAGTGCCTATCATTGCCTGCAGTGCAATGCCCCAAATAAGAAAACATACAACTACAAAGGACTATTTTTATATGCATTGCTTTTTAAGGAAAAGTGATCATTGGCCACTTTTTAAAAAAAGGCCCTAATTTATCTCCCACCTTCCTAATCTTTTGATGTCAGGTTTTTAAATGAGATGATGGAATATGTAATTTATCCTTAGTTGAAGAAAAGGATTCTTTTTTAATAAATGAAGCAAATTAGTATTTATTACTAGATGTTGAAACTGTGTAAATTCCTTCCCCTTGGAGGCCTGATTGATGCTGACATTGGCATTGTTTTGGTACCAAGTCAAGATGTACCTCTTTTTTTTAGAGGTTTTGCAGACTAAGTAGCCTCCAAAGGCTTTAGAGCAATGGTTGAAGGTCTGAATGTTTTAATTTTGTGTTTTAAATGGACTGATTTTAAATTAATTTAATTATCTTACATTTTAAGCACTGTAACCTGTTCTGAGGTCCTGTAATATAGGATCTGTAAATGTTTTAAAATAAAATAATATATATATACTCCAAATCATTCCTGATACTCCTCTATGAAACAGCAATGTTATATTAAAGTAGTTCTTGTATTTTTACAGTTGCCTGCTAACTCTTCTGAACTTCTCTTGCCTAATCCTGCATATTTGTTTCCAACCCACCAGGTGCAAGTTAGTATCTGAAACATGCTCTGTTTATAGACAGTATTTAATTATCAGACAATTAAAACGTTACTGTACTATGCAATAAAATTACCTGTGTAGAACAAAATGAATACATTGTAATTCTAATTTCAAATGCCTTTTTGCTACTTTTGTCCCAAATACTTTAAATTTTAAGGAGCTTCAACTTCATTTCTGTGGTATAACTATTGCAATACATCTTGTTTCATAGGATTCTCCAGTTGCTTCAAAAACCACATTCCCTGAAAGTGACTCCTCTCCTTCTTCACCAAAGCACCAAAGCACAGTCAGTATAAAATCTTGCAATATATACAGTATATATATAGTATTCACAGTAAGTGGAGCTGAAGTCGGGCATTTCAGGGTGGGTGAACGGAACCTTCCACAGTCCTGCTGGCTTTTTCAAGACCAACAAAGAGCAATCCCCCCCCCATTTTTATTGACTGGTTGAGCATTTGTTTTTAGAACAACACTCCCATTGAAAATAGGAGGTGGGAAATTTCCTGCACCAGCACAGGTTTGATGTAGATCCAAGTTCCTCCCCAAGGAATGAAGAGACTTTGGATCCAGTAAATCAAAAAAGCAAGTCCTGCAACACCCCTGCAGGGCCCTAAACTGGGGATGATTTTAAGATCTTACAGCTTTCCAGAGATATATAAGGACTCTGAGTGGCCCCAGCTGTAGAGCTCTTGTCTGCTGATGTTCGTTTATAACTTTCCTTTGCCAGCATTTGGTTGCGTTACAGTTGCTCATCTCACTTACAGTACATTTCCCATTTATTTGGAACTTAGGTTGGAGTAGACTTTTATCGGATTGCCCTGTTAATTAGATACAGAAAGCCACCTCTATGCAGTTCAGCTTTCAGCCAATTGCCGCCTCTTGAAAATATTTGATACTCATTGCATTGAATTTATTTCCTGTTGTAAGGAACGGAGTATCCCCTCTTTACCAAATGTTTTGTTTGTGTTCTTCTTTAGGACCAAGAGAAGTATGGATTATTAAATGTAACGAAAATTACAGAAAATGGGAAGAAAGTTCGGCAAGTATCAGAATAACATTTCCAGTGTTTGCCGTCTAGGTCTTTCTTTAAAAAAATAATATTGTGTCAGATAAAAATACAGTATTGGTGCCAGATAAAAATCTTGAATATTTTTGTATCAATTTTTGTCAAATAGTAGAGTGAGGAAATGTTGCAAACATTCTGTTTGTCAGCTTATTTTAGTCAGAATAAAGTCCCCTTATTGGGGGAAACGTGGTCTATGAAAGAACCAAATAAATAACAAATAGAATAAATAATAGAAGGTCTTTATTTTAAACAGAATAGATCAGCATTTTAAAGACTATATTGAGAGTAATCCCAGGGAATATAATTTGGAGGAAGGTTTTCCATTTCCGACTGCTAACATTACTAGTTAGTTTTTTACATTCTCTTTGTATCTGTGTGTAGGACAGATTGGAATTGTTAGAACTGTAGACTGATAAACTTAATATTTATGTGTGCAGACAAAGTTTGTTCTGTATCTGTGAGCTACTGTGCTACGTTAGTCTGTGGGTGAGTGTTGGGTTGTTTTTACATAACTGTCATGTCTTTTTGATTTCAGCAAACAATACCAGCACTTTTTCTAATAGGTGTCCCTGTAGCCACAGTTGTACAAAAGAGATTTTGTCAAGTACCATTGGGTGAGCTCACATAATTATCCTTAACTGTGTACAAATGTCTGCTTCTTTTACAGAAAGAATTGGATGTCCTCGTGGGCAGTCTTGCAAGGTGCCTCTTTGCTGTTTACCAAGACTCAAGGAGGTGGGACTAGTTGGGTAAGTAGTTGAAGATAATTCTCTTTTTCAAAAGAAGGATTATGTTATTGCCTGTTGTTATAATATTCTCACTGTTCTCTCTCCTTTACCACTAATGCAAACATAGTTAAGAAACTGTGAATTGGCTGCAGGGATCAGCTGCAGTCATATTGAAGAAGTGATTATATTGGCTGAAAAAAAGAACAGCTGCAGTCATGGAAATTGCTGCAGCTGTCCCAGCGCAAGCAGATGATTTAACACACATTATCCATCTAAAAGAGCAACTGTTCAGAACTATGATCCTGTGTGAATGGTCTCATCATAGCTAGCAAGTTAAATTGTAGGGATTCCGAAATGAGGCTAAAAAGCATTCCCTCAATAAGCAGAGTTTGGAATATCAGCAAAGCTTGTTATTTGTTAGGCATCCCTTGATGATTAAAACCTTAAGTATATTTAAGATACCAAATTTGAGCAGCCTACAGATCAGCACATTTCTGCCTCTAGTTTATCCTCTGTGGCTGTTTCAAAACCATCTGCTTTGCAGATATTTTGCATCCCTTTCCATAGGCTTCGACATAGCGATAATTAATCTGTGCACATGTGAACCTATACAGTCTTTTACCTCCTCTTAAGAAGCCCTGTAGTGGACATCCTGATTTTTTGAGATCTTTTCTTCCTGTCTTGGAAGTTCTGTGAGAAATAGGCACATGCCATTAAATATACACTCTTATAGAAAATAAACTAAGCTGTTCTGCCTCATGTGTGCTGCATGGTTTGCTTTTACTATTTTTTAACTTTATGAAGGTGAAATTGTAAAATTTTGGTATGTATAGAATACTTTACCAGTTGCGTTCTTGAAATTTGTATTGGATTCTGTTAACATATTAGATTCATATTAGTGCTTTGCTAAGTCACCTTTGGCTATAAACAGCTTTGTCCTTGTTGTGAAGTGCTTTGAAGTTTTAAAGTGGTAATCAGGATAGACTATTTAAGTGTCTTCATGAGCTCAGGAATTTGGTACTCAGTGTACTAATCGTGACATGCCACAAGATGTGAGAGCTTTGGAGTCTGGTTTTGGAGACGGAGTAGAGCCCCTTCTTCTGCCTGCAGGTTAGCTGAATGTGTACTACTTTATTGTTGTTTCAATTGTTAAGGTCATATTAATGAGCTGCCACATGTTGTGTACATGCCATCTCTTTTCCCTTCCTCCTGTTGTGTAGGAAGGAGGACTATTGACAATTTAACATTACTTAGCAATCTCTACCCCCTCCCACACCCATTTCCATGATAGCTGGAAGACACAGGCAACACATAATGTAAAAGAAAGAGAGAGAGAGTAAGGAAGGGATGAGATGACAAGATGGGCAAAAATAGTATGTTCGAATTGTAATTCTGAAATTGCTGCCAAGAAATTGCTTTAGGTAGTGATGACCCCAAAAGGATGTTATTGCAGAGGGTGCAGAAAGGCTCTGTCTTTTTTTTCTGAGTTGCATGACTTTGTGTTGATCAGAAAGGAACAGAGACCTCAGTTATGGAGGCCCTCTAGAAAAAAAGTTACAAATGCTTGTGTTTTTCCCCTAGAAGTTCGGAGGCAACCAGTCTAAACCAGAGTTCACGGTGGATTTGAGAGGTGCAGTTGTTGACTGGGCTTCAAAGGACAAATCTAGCAAGAAGAATGTAATTGAAGTAAGTTTTTTAATTTTTCCACCAAAGTTTAATGTGCTGGCTTGATTGAAGGGACAAAAGGATGCTGTGTTGGGCATTTTAAAAAATTGCAATTTCTTAATAAACCTTATAAGAGTAGAATTCAAAAGCAGGTGTTGATGGTTTTCAGTTAACAAGATGCAGTGTAACCACTGTCCTATATTTGGAGAGATGGAGGGAGATATTTAACATGTGTACATTAATTCTAATTTTTGCATTCCTTTTATTTCAAAGCTGAAAACACGGCAAGGAACTGAATTGTTGATTCAGTCAGATAATGACATTTCTGTAACGGAATGGTTTAAAGTTCTTAAAAATGCTATCAGTAATCAGGTACGTATTTAAACACTGCCCTTCCTGTTCTCGAAATGTATACTGGCTGGTGTGATAAATACTTTAAAACAACTAGTTGAAACAATAGTTTGAACATGGAACTTATTCAGCTGTTTTTGAATGTTCAGGAAGAACAACAGTTGGGGTGGGTTTTTGTAACTGGTAGCTGATGAGAAAAGTATGCCCAAATTTGATGCTTTCTCTCAGTGCATTAAAATCAAAATCTTTCTAAAACATCATACTGTGCAGCTGGATAACCCACACTCAGCAATATGGTTAAATACCATGGACAGTAAAAATTGCATATTGATTTTATTATATTTTGAATATTTTGAACAAAATAATGAATAGCAAAGGAGAACATAACGGGGAATGTGTGGACCTCTTAAGCTTATTATAAGCTATATGCAATGAGTTAAAAATGTTCAGAATCCATGCCTGAACTTTCTGGTAGCTCAGGTTTGGAATCTAACTACTCTTTATATTTATTTATTTAACTTATATGCCGTCCACTCTACCCAAAGGTCTCTGGGCGGCTTACAACAATTAAAATACAATAAAAAGATCAAACAATTAAAATACAATTAATATATGAAGCTATGTGGAACACTAGACCAATCCCGAGTGTTCCTTATAAACTCTGTGTGTGTGCTCATTGAGTTCCATCGATGATGCACAGGGGCAGATGGTTTGTTTAATTCCCATTTCGAATGAAGCCCCGCCTACTGCTGCATGCATGGAGTGAGGCTCACGTCTAGCGGGACAGAAAATTAGAGGGAATGTTGCCACTTTTTGCAATTATGAAGTGTGAACTACTCCTTAAATGTCTCACTTACCTTGAAAACCCTATTAGGGTCGCTGTAACTGAGTTCCAACTTGACAACACATAATGTAATTATGGTGAATGGGAATTCACTGAACTGTCAATAGGCTGTAAAGAATCCCGAGCATCATTTTGCAAGTATGTAACATTAGTGAGATGCTCTCAATAGCTTTCTGAAATGTACAGGGTTTTGGAACGGATACCTGGCAGTGGCAAGTAGCCTATACAGATAACATCTAGCTGAATGACTCAGCTTATTATCTGCTATTAACAGAGAAAAAAGAACTTTCAGAGGCTTAGCAGGTCACAGTGTTACACTGACTTCACTGCCTGGCTCTGGCCTACTGTTGTACAAGACTTCAGCAGCAGGTATCTCTAGTCCAGGTTCTCCAAACTTTTGACTGTGAGGGCCCCACACCGAATATTATCATCTTTGAGGGCCAAAGGAACAGGAATGTACACCCACACCCACAAACGCACGCACATCATAGGAAGATGTACTAACACCATAGTTCTGCAGAGTAGCGAAGTGAAAATGGTGGCACTAACACTTCCAATATATTTCCCAGAGTGATTGTCAACTTTTCATCAAAGCCACATCTGTTCCCAATGAATTGGGCTTTGATTTTTAAAAAGAAAGGGGGTGGGGGAGAGAGATACTTTAAGAAAGATGAAAGGAGGTTGTTCCTTACCCTTTGGAGAGATTGTAGCCTCCATTAGGTTCTGGAACACTGTGGGAAGGGCTAATAGAAACTTTTAAAAGCTGTCAATGAAATTAATATGATCAGGAGAAGGTATTATGCTAAACAGTGGCCTCATGTGTAGAAGTTATCTCTGGTTTTCTGATACATGTGTTCACAGTGTGAAGAAGTTGTTTACAGAAGCTGTGGAAGAGGAAGCTGTTAAAAATTAGTACTCAATTGTCAAACAGATGAAAACACATAAAATATCATGAAACTTCAATTCCGTTAAATTATATTAAAGCAGTTTGAAACAATACTTACTGTGTTACTGTTTCGAAAAGGTAAAGAATGTTGTATTCGCAAAGGCTTTCACGGCCAGGATCTAATGGTTGTTGTGGGTTTTTCGGGCTCTTTGGCCATGTTCTGAAGGTTGTTCTTCCTAACATTTTGCCAGTCTCTGTAGCCAGCATCTTCAGAGCCCGAAAAACCCACAACAACCAGTAAAGAATGTTCTTCATTTCACAGGCTTTTCTTGATTAGGAAAGCTGCTAAATTTTGTAAAAGGAAGACTAACTAATTTTTTTTCTATAATCTGAATAGACAATGGAGTCTGATGAAGTATTAGATGATGAAATGCCAGATTCCCCTGGAGCAGAAAAACAAGACAAAGAGAAGGACCATAAAGACTCCAGAAAACTTCGCTGTAAGTTGCTGTCTCTTTTTGTTTAGCTTATTTTCACACACCGTCTCCTAAGGTATCTGCATTATGGATGGCAATTGTGTGCACTTGACATGTTGGCTAAAATCCAGCATGGTAATTTATGCTGTATATGGTTGATGATGTCAACAGCCTTACACGGTATAAGTTATAGTGCTGGATTACATCCATGTTGAGGAGGCCAGATCTGTTTCTCCTTGCCTATTTATCACTTTAATTCCTGAGTAAATAGACATGGACTAGATAAGATTTAATAAGTAGAAACTCAATCCAGAGTTGCTCATGTTGGTCCGTGCCAAGTTTAGTGATGCAGTGGAAATATCTGTTCTAGAGGAGGATATGAGAAACAGGTTCATAGCTCAGGAGCTATTCTGGATCTGAACATACTACCAGATTCGTAAGTTGGAGTGTTGAATCAGAAGGACATATGATCAAGCCTAACCCTTTGTGAGACAAAGAGGTTTGAATGGTGACATGCCTGGTAACCCCCCCTCTTTTAAAAAAATTAAAATAAAAACAATAATCTAGGACACTATGTGTGGCTGCTGTTGAAAATGGTCTACCATGTTTCCCCGAAAATAAGACAGGGTCTTATATTAATTTTTGCTCCAAAAACGCAGAAGGGCTTATTTTCTTCATTTAGAACAATCTACATTTATTCGAATACAGTCATGTCATCTTCTTCTGGTGGCTGCACAATGCTGCAAAGTGGTGGAGGGCGGGGTTTCACTTAACTGAGGCTTATTTGGGGGGTAGGGCTTATATTACGAGCACCCTGAAAAATCATACTAGGGCTTATTTTCAGGTTAGGTCTTAAGTTTGAATGGTGACAGGCCTGGTAACTGCTCTCCTTTTAAAAAAATTAAAATAAGAACAATAATCTAGGACACTTTCTGTGTAGCTGCTGTTGAAAATGGTCTACTGTGTTTCCCCGAAAATAAGACAGGGTCTTCTATTAATTTTTGCTCCAAAAACACAGTAGGGCTTATTTTCTTCATGTACAACAATCTACATTTATTCGAATACAGTCATGTCATCTTCTTCTGGTGGCTGCACAATGCTGCAAAGTGGTGGAGGGCGGGGTTTCACTTAACTGAGGCTTATTTGGGGGGTAGGGCTTATATTACGAGCACCCTGAAAAATCATACTAGGGCTTATTTTCAGGTTAGGTCTTATTATCGGGAAAACAGGGTAGAAGCTACAACTAGCGCAGCATGTAACAACCATATATTACCACTATTGATTACAAAGAAACACTGAACACTAATTCTGTCTTAGCCTTATGGATTGGTGGTTTGTTTTCAGACCACACTGCTTGTTTTGTTATGTTTTTAAAGGTCTTCATGGGTGAGGTCTGGTTGTGTAATTGTGGAAATGAGACACATGTTTCCATCACCCTTCTATCTAGATGGCTACCTCTTTTGAATGTTTTTATTCCATCTAAAGGTACAGTTCTTTTCATAGAAAGCTGGCTTATGTAATCCCCTCAAGCAGTGTGAGGATGATATAAATGTTAAGGAATACAGTTTTGTGTAAATCCTATTACCTATTTTAAATGTTTGTATAAAGGTTATCCAAAAGCTTTTGACTGTGTGGACCACAGCAAACTATAGCAAGTTCTTAAAGAAATGGGGGTGCCTGACCACCTTATCTGTCTCCTGAGAAATCTATATATGGGACTGGAAGCAACAGTTAGAACTGGATATGGAACAACTGATTAGTTCAAAATTTGGAAAGGCTGCATATTGTCCCCTGGCATATTTAACTTATATGCAGAATACATCATGCGAAAGGGAGGACTGGGTGGATCCCAAGCTGGATTTAAGATTGCTGGAAGAAATATCAACAACCTCAGATGTGCAGATGATATCACTCTGATGGCAGAAAGTGAGGAGGAATTAAAGAACCTCTTAATGAGGGTGAAAGAGGAGAGCGCAAAAATGTTATGAAGCTCAACATCAAAAAAAAACTAAGATCATGGCCACTGGTCCCATCTCCTCCTGGCAAATAGAAGGGGAAGATATGTGACAGATTTTACTTTCTTGGGCTGCATGATCACTGCAGATGGAGACAGCAGCCACGAAATTAAAAGACGCCTACTTCTTGGAAGGAAAGTGATGACAAACCTTGACAGCATCTTAAAAAGCAGACACATCACCTTGACAACAAACTGTGGAGATGAGACACATGTTTCCATCACCCTTCTTTCTAGATGGCTACCTCTTTTGAAAGTTTTTATTCCATCTAAAGGCCAAAGAAAGTTGGCTTCTGTAAGCCCCTCAAGCAGTGTGAAGATGATGTAAATGTTAAGGAATACAGTCTTGTGTAAATCTTATTACCTTTTTTAAATGTTTGTATAAAGGTTATTCAAAAGCTTTTGACTGTGTGGACCACAGCCACCCTTCTTTCTAGATGGCTACCTCTTTTGAAAGTTTTTATTCCATCTAAAGGCCAAAGAAAGTTGGCTTCTGTAAGCCCCTCAAGCAGTGTGAAGATGATGTAAATGTTAAGGAATACAGTCTTGTGTAAATCTTATTACCTTTTTTAAATGTTTGTATAAAGGTTATTCAAAAGCTTTTGACTGTGTGGACCACAGCACATTGTGGAAATGAGACACATGTTTCCATCACCCTTCTATCTAGATGGCTACCTCTTTTGAATGTTTTTATTCCATCTAAAGGTACAGTTCTTTTCATAGAAAGCTGGCTTATGTAATCCCCTCAAGCAGTGTGAGGATGATATAAATGTTAAGGAATACAGTTTTGTGTAAATCCTATTACCTATTTTAAATGTTTGTATAAAGGTTATCCAAAAGCTTTTGACTGTGTGGACCACAGCAAACTATAGCAAGTTCTTAAAGAAATGGG